TTTACTGAGTTCACATCATGTTGTAAACATGTTTAATTCTGCTCTAAAGTTGTACATTTTAACATGAGGCTCTATGGGGACTGATTCATTTTGGATTCAACCTCTGGTGGACATTCATGGAACTGCAGTTTTTAGCCCTTCATTTTTCAGACACTTTGGTTGCAGCGTAACTGTAAATTATTCTTTAAGTTTTGGCAAATGTTGGCATAAAACCCAACATTTATGCACCAAGAACTAGTTCCTATTACCACACGCTGCACCCTTATGATGAAATTCAACAACAGCTACATTTTTGTAATGCAGGTGTAAAAACATGGAACTATTTTTTTCTTATTTCTTAATTTAAGGATGGCAGCAGTCCTTGTACAATAATGAGTCACTGTATGAGTCACACAAACCCAACTACAAAAGCGGAGCACCTTGAATCACACAGGAAACAGAGAAAGAATTGGAAGTTGGTATATTTCAAGTCATACATTGTACAAAAGTCTTACATCAGAGGTTAGCTCTACAGACATTGTTATCATTATTACAACATGTTCTCCACGACTCACCGGTGTAGAGTCGCTCTAGCAGTACAAACAGAGTTTAGAAAAATACAGTCATCGTCATAAAAAGCATTAATATATCTAGCACAGAATGAAAAATGAAAAAGTTAGTTTCATTTTAGCACAGCTAAAACAGACGCTTGTGTAACCATGGGTCGAGTAGCAAAGAGAGAAGGCAACAACAGGCCGACACAACATGATGCTGCTGTTGTCTCTAGTGTTAGTACTGAACCATACAAACTCTGAGTTAATGCAGAAATAAAAGCACTTCTATTGTAAAAGTCAAAACATCCATAGAACTTCACTTTCCCGTCTTTTCATCCATTCAGTCGGGATGTCCAGTGCATCCAGTGAAATTAAAAGAATCTTTATCGCCTCTTATCAATGCATTTCAATTAGGACTAAGTAAAGGGTCCGATATTCGACTAGTATTTATCGTTTATTCTGGTATTTCACCTGCTGTTCTCAGTGGATTATTGATGTCATGAAGAACCAACAGGCTGCCCCACAGACTTATTTCTAATTTCCTTTGTCATTACATTCTTNGTGGACATTCATGGAACTGCAGTTTTTAGCCCTTCATTTTTCAGACACTTTGGTTGCAGCGTAACTGTAAATTATTCTTTAAGTTTTGGCAAATGTTGGCATAAACCCCAGCATTTATGCACCAAGAACTAGTTCCTATTACCACACGCTGCACCCTTATGATGAAACTCAACAACAGCTACATTTTTGTAATGCAGGTGTAAAAACATGGAACTATTTTTTTCTTATTTCTTAATTTAAGGATGGCAGCAGTCCTTGTACAATAATGAGTCACTGTATGAGTCACACAAACCCAACTACAAAAGCGGAGCACCTTGAATCACACAGGAAACAGAGAAAGAATTGGAAGTTGGTATATTTCAAGTCATACATTGTACAAAAGTCTTACATCAGAGGTTAGCTCTACAGACATTGTTATCATTATTACAACGTGTTCTCCACGACTCACCGGTGTAGAGTCGCTCTAGCAGTACAAACAGAGTTTAGAAAAATACAGTCATCGTCATAAAAAGCATTAATATATCTAGCACAGAATGAAAAATGAAAAAGTTAGTTTCATTTTAGCACAGCTAAAACAGACGCTTGTGTAGCCATGGGTCGAGTAGCAAAGAGAGAAGGCAACAACAGGCCGACACAACATGATGCTGCTGTTGTCTCTAGTGTTAGTACTGAACCATACAAACTCTGAGTTAATGCAGAAATAAAAGCACTTCTATTGTAAAAGTCAAAACATCCATAGAACTTCACTTTCCCGTCTTTTCATCCATTCAGTCGGGATGTCCAGTGCATCCAGTGAAATTAAAAGAATCTTTATCGCCTCTTATCAATGCATTTCAATTAGGACTAAGTAAAGGGTCCGATATTCGACTAGTATTTATCGTTTATTCTGGTATTTCACCTGCTGTTCTCAGTGGATTATTGATGTCATGAAGAACCAACAGGCTGCCCCACAGACTTATTTCTAATTTCCTTTGTCATTACATTCTTCTGATTGATTTAAACCCCTTTTAGCCAATTGTTAACCTCAATACTTTGAAGCTATTATCCTGCTTTAGTCATCAGATATACAGTAAATTTCTTTCACACACCTCTTGTGTGTGTGTGTGTGTAACAATCAAAGGACTAAATTCTCTCATGTGGGTTGTTTAAGAGAAGAAGTTTGCGTGTTAAACCGTGTCGTTGTCATTCATGCCACATAACAAAGAGTCCTCTGAGTGGATGGACTGGTTCGCTGTGGAAGCGACGATGTGACGTTACGGTGGAGGACTGTTGAATCAAAGTGCTTTTTTAATGGCAGGTTAACACACGTGGAAGAAAACCCTCAGTGTGTGTGTGTGTGTGTGTGTGTGTGTGTAAAAGCTGGATTTTCTTGACTTGTCGCTGTGACAGGAAAATGCTCCAACTTTCCTCTCCGTCCTCAGCAAAACTTTTCAAACTAATTTTTCAAAAATAATTCAAACAGTTTGTTCATCCAACAGGTCGTGCATGTAAACAGATCATACTTCAGGTTCTGAAAAATACTAAGCAAAACAAATGAAAGTATTGCAAATGTCCTTGCAATTTGAGAACTGTTTGCAAAAAATGCTTCTACATATATGGTCTTCAGAAAAGGCAATCACTGTGAGTTATAGCAGCTTTGGGTTGATAATCAGAAGGGTAAAGTGATACAAAAGGCCAGCATGATACCCATTAATAACAGAATCTGAACCATAAAACCACAACTCCTTTTAGATGATGCTGACTTTGTCCCCAACCAGTGAAAAAAATGTCAACAAAAACCGATAAAACCTTCAGCAATGTAATCGAAAGAGCCAAAGAAATCCTGTTATTATAGAAAACGCTACTGGACATATATGGCCACATGCTGGAGTTTGAGCTGCTGGAAAAATATGACTGAGAATAACTGATTTGGTTTTGTTGGAATAGAAACATACCGTCAGGAAACGTTCCTCATTTGAAATAAATTAGCACGGCTGTTTCTGAAAACACAAATAGTATTCAAAGTATCCCCATGCAGCTCAGTGATATGAAACGCTCGTGTTAAATCTGTTCTCGTTGTGCTGGACTTGTAGACAGTGTGAAGAGTTTGAGGCACTGCAGTGCTCATAGAGCTAATTATTTCAAAAATACATCCAGATTCAGAGGCCCACGTGGATCCATTTAAACCATGTGAACAAGATCCTCTTCTGTAAAACTGAGGAGTTGTGTAATTTACTGGTGCCGTCTAACAAAACCTCATGCGAATATGACACCATCAGACTAAAATCTGCAGTAGGAATAAAATCTGATGGCAGCAGGACTGTTAGACGGACATGAGGTGTGACTGGAAAACCACCACAGTGTTTAAAAGATTTGAATATTGTTCTCCAGTGAAGAAGAAACAAATGTTTGGTTTCCTAAAGGCAGAAAAAAATTGCTTATAAAAGTCAGATTTGACTGCGAAAAATAATGGCTTGTACTTGTTGGAAACAAAGATAATTATTTACCAACAACTTGTAGAATCAAAATGTGCTAACGTCTAATAAAAATGATCAATAACAGAACTCATCACAGTGGTTTGTTGGAGTGATTCTAACTTTTAGCAACTCCACTGTAACATGTCAAAGATAGCAGTCACAAAGAATCGTATCTGATGAAGTAAAAAAAAAAAAAAACCCCATAGTGACAGTCAGCAACAAGCTTCAGATTCAAATGTTGCTGAACCACATATTCTTTGTCGTGTTTTAAAGAAGCTTTTGTGTCAGATTTCAACTGCCTTTTCTTTTGTTTGGTCTTTTCCATCCATTGGGTCAATATGTCATAACAGCTGCTTTCATACGAGCTCTGTGTAAATGTAGAAGACCTGCTACACAGAGTCCACCATGTTTGTAGTTCAGACATTGGATTTTCTTATGCGTTCAGTTCTGATATCATTACATCCCATCATTTAAATAATGTTTCTTAAATGCTGTGTTTTCAATTCAGAGCAGACTGATTGTCGTTGTCACTCAGATAAAACCAGAAGTATCTTTAAAATCGTGTTCAGGAGCTCCTGGTGGGTACGTCCCTGGTTTGATCCCAGGAGATCTTTGAAGCATTTCGTCTGCATCTCGCATATTAGAGTTCTGCAAACACAGACAGCTACCGCGGACACACTCTGACTTTACAATATTGGGTCACTAAAACCTGTCATTTTATTTACACCGATCAGCCACAACATTAAAACCTGCTGCTTAATTCTAGATTCACTTTGTGTCATCAAAACATCTCTGACCCTCAGGCCACAGACACAGGACCTCTGGATGCGTCCTGTGTTTTCTTTTAGGAGGGTGTTGGTGGTGGATCCTGTGGGTTACACAGTGTCACCTCCGTGGATCAGGTTTGTTCCGATCGAGTTGGGATCTGGGAAGTTCAGGCCAGGCCTCTGCCCTGGGCTCTTGTTTGTGTTCCTCAAGCAGATCATTTTTTAGTGCAGCAGGACCAGCAGAACATTGTGTTGTAACAAGATAATCAGTGTTTCCTTCAGCTGTAGCTTAAATGTTGGGGCTGATCAGCGTATACAGTATGTTGGAGATGGAACTTCTACCGTCCTTTAGAAAAGCTTAACGGCTTATCCCAAATCATTGTCAATGAGCACATTTGCTTTATCAGGAGACCTAAACGAGATTGAGTTGAAGGTGCCAGACACCCAGTGAAGTCATGAAGCTCCTGCCCTGTATGTTCCTCGTGCTCTTTGTTTTGCTGTCGTGATGAAATGTTGTCAAAAATCCACTGATGCCAGGCTCCTCTTAGAGGGCTGAAGATGTCCCTGTTGGGGTCATGAAGAACCACATTACTTGATTTGTGAGGAAAAACAGTTCATTTGGTCGAGCAGCACTGATGGAAAGGCCTTGGAAGGATCCTGAAAGGTGCTGACCGTCCTCCTTTCTACTTGAGGTGTTCAATAATCGAGATATCTCCTCTCTCTGGGTCCAAGCCGTTCATGTACAAACCACCGTTTCTGCTCAGAGGCGTCGTCAAGCCCTGCAGCCCGGCTTCCTTCTCGTTCTTGTCCCGCTCGTCGTTGAAATTGACCGACACGGTCCTCCTGGGCAGAGTGAGCTCTGGCGCCGGGCTGAACCCCAGCTCTGACGACAGTTTGCGTTTAATTGATGCGGCACGCTGGAACTTGTCGTAGATCTCGACGCTGACACGACGGCGAGTTTCTTTGAACTCTGCAGAGACGTTAGCCGTCCACTCGGCAGCGTGAGCTCGGATCTCCCCGACCTGCAGGGAGACGGAGAGAGAAGTGATGAGACAAAGCAGAGGGAGACACATGGAGGTGTTCAAAGGGTGTGATGACCCCTGAGGTCATCTTGTGTCTTGTGGGTGGTTCTAGTTCAGCTATTGGTTCTGTGAGTGGCTGTTTAGGGTTATCAGGAGCACCCAGTGTGTTCCTGGGTTACTTCAGGGCTGACTGCAGTCTAATCTCTCTCTACTCTGCTTCCCTCCGCAGGTATTGCATCGCTCTGGTTATGGGTTAGTTTTCTTTGTTTAGGACGTTTGCATGTACAACACTTGCACAGACATAATTCATGCATACATCACACACACACACCACTGACTCCATGTATTCTCACAACCCCATATTGGTTTGGTTTTTAATTTGACATAATTTAAGGGAATAAAGATAAGCTTTAATTTTGAAACTTGGTGTGTCTCTCCTTTTGTTGCGGCCATCTTGAGCCAGGTCGTAACAAGGGTGATTTAAAAACAGATTTGAGCCGATGAGTCATTTATATTATGAATTAAAGTGATTTTCAGTTAAAATGCAGAGAAATAAGGAGAAGCACATAACCTTTAAAGACTTATTAACAACACAGATCTGCAGAATACTTCCCAAAGCACATCATCATTATTATAGGAGGGATTTATATTCACCTAACTGCAGGTTTAAAATCCACACGCAGACACTTAAAACTTTGTTGTCCATCTGTTTCATCCTTACTTTTAATGACGGCTCAGGTCAGGCAGGACACTCATGGCTGACTCATTTGCAGCTCCAAGAAACATTATTATACTCATGCATATATTTTGTATTGCCTCCATAATGAACATCCATATTCATGCATGTTGGCTGTTTGTGTTCTTCCAGAGCTCAATCAAAGTCTGAAGTATTTTCTGTCTATATCTGACTGCATAACCGTTCACTATAAATGAGTCAGTTCCTTGATGCAATCATCTCTAACTGAGCTCTATGTTATCTCTGTGCTGTAATGTTTAATTCTGTCACTTTGATTAAATTGTTAAAAACAAGCTGATAAATGCAGTGGTTATAATGTAGAAATCTTTTCATTTAGATTCAGTATCTGTAGTGTACTGATGCATATTATGTTTAATCTTTTAAAGAGATAAAAAGAAACAGAGAGTGAAGTAGAGTGACGACATCACTGACCAGGAAGTCGACTTGATTAAATTAAAACAATGTATCTGCAGCTAAACAGGACATCACAGTGTATCCATCAGTTATGGAAAATATGACGCACGCATGAACACCTGAGTACATCTGCAGCCACAGCATGGATGTTACTGCTGGAACAGGGCATTATTAACATTCATTAAACCATAATAACACATTTCTTTTTATCTGACGTGCACAGCGGATCTACGAATATACATAAAATGAGTTTATTTAATTAACTTTCTGAACTACAAAAACTGCCAAATTAAATCTACGTCCTCTTCATGTATAGAAAAAAGAACTTTATATACAAAAACAAAACCCTCATTACATCTTAATCTAAAATGAAAATGTGTCTGTCTTCAGTAAACTATAATGGAATCTAGCATGAATAGAGCTTTACTTGCACATAGATGCTTAGTCAGCATTTCCCAGGTCGGCAGTAACTATAGGAAACTAATGACTAAACATGCAGCTTGCCAAAGCATGTAGAGGCATAAACATGGTCCCACTGCTTTGAAAAATAACACATTTAAATGCACAGAATGCTCTAACTTTTATTTATTACACTGATTTACGTCAAGGATGATAAACAACATAAATATTAAAAGAGGAGATGCTGGAATTTGCCCTTAGACTTCTGCTAACTGATGCACTTCTCTAACCTACAGCCCAAGTTGGTCACCTAATATTTCCAGGATCCCACCATCATATAGCTCGCTAGAATAGGTCAGAGTACTCCTACTAAGATAAGATGTATTTATAAAACACTGTCTCATACGTTGCCTGTAGGGACGGGTCTGTATTTGAACTCTTTATAGCACAACAGGCCAATGACTACCAAAGAATACACCCGACGCAGCTTCTGTTTTCATGTCTAAAGCTTATAAAGTAAATCCACTTTGCCTTCGGCTAACAGATGAGAATGTAAATAGACAAATAAGAAAAGGGCAGACCCAGTCAGGGTGACATGTAAACAGAGAATTGAAGCAGAGCTGTGCAGAGCCATAACTTTGTTTATCCAGGATACATCTGTGCCTCAATGTGACACTAACGTGATTCATCTCATCACAAAGCGACTGGAGCAGCATTTCAGGTCAAATATCAGCCCCGTGCAAAACACATGCTCTGTCTGGTACATGGATATCACACATGTTCACACGTCAGTGAGGTTTTAGTGTATCACAGCAGGACTTCAGCTTGAGAACCCACTGGGAGCATGAGTGAACTCACACAGATCATCAAACAGTCACTCAGCGGATCATGTTTAGCTCATGACAACTCGGTGTTGTGTCACTGTGTCATCGTGTTCCTGCTAAAGAAGTCTCTGAAACTCAACAACATGTTTGTAACTTAAGGACAGAATCTGTATTTGTGCCCACCAGTAAAATCTATTTATTGCACTGTAGAGAGGAACCTCTGGGTGTTCTGGAAACTCACAGATGTTCACTTTTGGAAACAGTTGGATTTAATTTGATAACCTGTGTTATATTTTGTGTTGAGACAGTTCGGTGTTCATTCTCTGGTAAGAACACCAGCACATATAAGCCATGATCTCCGTCTCTTTCTCTCGCCCTCTGGAGATGATCACAATAATGTCTGAAGACTGCGTTCATGTGTTTGGATGACAGAGAGTCGATTGGATTAGAATACAGTTGCATCATTGAAATGAAGTTAGGCAGAGGGCGAAAGTTGAGGCGGGGATGTGGCACCGTGGACAAGCTTATGTAACCTTTGTGTTACAGAAGGGCAGAGGATGGAAACAGGTGTACATGGAGCAATATACAAGAAAAGAGAAACACAAGCTGCAAAGCAAATGAGATGAAGCCACTGAATGGAAATGAAAACCGAAAGTCTCGTACCTCCTCTTTCGTCCTCTTGGAGATGACTCGGAGCCAGTCTCCTATCATGCTGAGGATCGCAGCAAAGTACGCCAGTCCCACCAGAATCCAGAACCATACAACTGGTTTATAGTAGTCCAGGTATTCTATTTCTGACCCACCTGGACACAAAAACACAGAGCTGTTCTCAGACCTGATGGGAAATATCAGCGTGATGCAGAGAACCAGATAGATTTAAGGAGCGTGTTCGGTCACCGGCTGTGTTCACACCTGCAACAAAGTCCCCAAATCCAATGGTAGTCAAGGTGATGACCACAAAGTAAAGGGACTCCAGAGCAGACCAGCCCTCGATGTGCTTAAAGATGGCGGCCGGGAGCGCCACAAACAGCAGGCAGCCAAACAGCACGAAGAGCAGCGTGGATATGACCCGGATCTTTGTCTGACTGATGTCCCAGTGCTGCAGGGGAGAGACCAAGACAGAGACGACATCATTCAACCATCCGCCAAAGCAGCCAACGAGCTCATCACATCATTTGCAATGAAAGAGAGTCCAGACAACAGCAGATAAACTATTCAGATTCCTCACTTAAAGCAATCAATGTCATACCATGGTAAAAGTACAAAAGTATCATCGCCAGTATGTACTTAAAGTAGAAAAAGTTAAAATAGAAAAAGGCAAAAACTGCAATAATGACTCGTTCTTGACTTTATAAGAATCATTTCTGCTGGTGAAGCCGGGGGCTACAAGGTGGGTCGGTGGTTAGCACTGTTGCCTCGCAGCAAGAAGGTCACCAGTTTGCGTCCCGGTGAGGACACCCGGGATCTTTCTGCGTGGAGTTTGCATGTTCTCCCCGTGCAGCGTGGGTTCTCTCTGGGTTCTCCGGCTTCCTCCCACAATCCAAAAACATGTTGAGGTTAATTGGTGATTCTAAATTGTCCGTAGGTGTGAATGTGAGTGTGCTTGGTTGTCTGTCTCTAAGTGTAGCCCTGTGATAGACTGGTGACCTGTCCAGGGTCGCCCTAAATCAGCTGGGATAGACTCCAGTCCCCCCGTGACCCAAGTGAGGATTAAGTGGTGTATAGATAATGGATGGATGGTGAAGCCGGCCGAGTTTTAACAAGTTGTACCATCAGGCAGTTTAGTTGCTTTCTTCCAGGAGGTCAAATAATACGTCTGAGGAGATGATTAATGAGGTTGCAAAGTGGAAAAAATGCTCAAAATCTGTTTGGTAGAATCACAACCACTCATGGGCGTCTGAAACCTGCAAAGAGGCCTCAACGGCTTTAGTGAAAAGTCCTGAGCCAAAATGGAGTCACTGATTAAATGTTGAACATACGTAATTACATCAATAAATATAATCTAGATTTTTTTAAAAATAAAAATCATATTTCCTTCTGGAACTCCCTCTAAAGTACAACCTACCAACCTTTGTTCAGGCTCTGAGTAAATCTACTTTGATCCACCACAGACACCACTATTATTTTGGGTATTTTTATGGTAAATGCATCAGTTTGTATCCTCGTCCTGCAGTAAGAAGACTTGTTTAAAGTACAGCAACATTTTCTTTAAACTAATGTCTAGATGTTCAGTTGTGGTTGAGGTGGTAGAGCAGTTACTAAATGTAAGCTGGTGTTGTTGTGAAGGGCATACAAATGTTTGTAAAAAAAAAAAAATCACGGTGAGTTGTCGTTGACGACAAGCTGTCGTGTGCTTTAGAAAAAAGTCATTAGGATTCATTGTGTGTTAATCATTAATGTCTGAACAGTTCTAACAGTCCATCCCAGAGCTGTCTGAGTATGTCAGCCTGGACAAAAGTAGAGGACCGACAGACAATTATAAAGCACACTGTTGAAGAAAAAACTGTGTTTGAAGTGAGATGTTAAAAGAGCCGGATGCTGTAAGCAGTAATAGCATTATTCCATAAATTGGTCCCTCGGGCGCAGTAGAAAAGAAAAGAGGCTCATTGATGATAATGCTGCGGGCTTGCACAATCTGCACAGAGCAATAAGGTTTTAACAAACACACGCTTACACAATGAACTTTTGTCCTTTTTCCTTAATTATAATATTCACCACGGAGTCCCTCGGGTGCTCTGAGAGCAGCAGAAGGAGCAAATCATTCTAAACTATGTTTCTGTTTTCAGATTTCTGCTTATTTCGTTAACAACTGCAAAGCAAATTGTTTGAAAAGCTGACCACTAACTGAATTAGCTTTGCGTCTCTCATCTGGGATCAGCAGGCTCAGTCCGACACGTAGCGCGTCTTAATTTATAGTCTGGTCTCAGAAACACCGTCTTTATGTAAGAATGTGATAAATTAATGAATCAACGAGAAAATTACTGCCCAGCAACAAAACTTCTGTGTTCTTTAGTCAGCTCTGGCAGCTTAATGAGCATAAAGCCTAAAATAAATGAGTTCATTTACTCATTTTGGGTTCTGGATTTAGCTTAAATGAACCACGATGCTGCATTTACAAAGTAATGTAGTGGCCAGTATGTTAAATAATTGTTTCTAAAGCAGCTCAGCCTCCAGAGTTTCTCATCGTTTACTGAAACTAACGACACAAATATTTAAAAACCAAGCTGACCTTACTACAGAAAACTTCATCATTGGGATTTAACGCCCACTGGAGTAAATCAGGTTAAATGTCAAGCACTGCAAAGTACTTTTAACATAAGCTTCAAACAGTGAGAAATACTCCAGAGAAATGATTCAGCCTTCTTTCCTCTGTAGCATCTGAGCTAAATCAGGTCTATAGAAAATGTGTTCACTCTGTGACAATACACAAAAAAATCCTGGAAAATCACCTTGTATTTCAGCATTAATAGGAATAATACTGGATTTTTGCATTCATGCGTTGATGCATCTTGCAAATTTAATTAATCAATCCAGAAACAGTCCAACTTAACTGAAACTCAATTTTGAAGCAGATTTGTCAGAACATGTCCGATACCACATGTAGCACAATAACAAAATACATACTATACTATCAAATAGGATTTAATCCACATCTTCTAGCTTTAGTGGTTAAATCTGATCAAATTTAAACTGAAAACAGAAAAGACAGACGATTGGATGTAAATGATCTAAAACCGATCTTTCTGCCTGCAGTCTGTGAAGTCTCCTGTGAGTGTTTGAGAATCGTCCGTGTGTCTGTCCAGTATCTGAGTTTTGGCTTCATGTGACTGTGTGTTCCTTCAGACTCACCACAAACATCTTCTCCACTCTGGCAATGCCTTTGCCGAATATGGTGCCGAGCTGATCTCCCACACCGGCCAAAAGGAAGCCGAACAGAGGTATCCCTAACAACGCGTAGACGATACAGAATATTCTTCCGCCTTCAGTGTGGGGAGACGTGTTCCCAAAACCTGCAGAAGGAAGGAAGTAGAAACTGAGATTGGAAAATACCGTCCAGTTATCTGAGTCATGGTGACTACTGCACGAAGACCAGAACAGTGGATTTCTCCTCTGTCACCTGCTCTTTGGCCTGCTGTCGAGTCCTGACGTCTGTTAATGCAACCAACATTTTTATAGCGCAAAGCTAAAAGGCTTAAATGTTTTATGTTGCACACACCTTTTGTGACTTTATTTAATTGCACTTGAAACATTGTTGGTTACATAAAAAGATGAGGTAACAGCATTTTTTAAAAGCATGCAGCAAGAACAGAATGAGGAAACAGCTTCAACAGCAGAGGAGGTGAATGTTTGTGGTTCCACTCACGCTGCATTCACCGCAGGTCAATAACTGTGCTTTTATCCAGTGTTTTTGCAATTTAATAAGGTCTAACAAAAAGACAACAGAAGCCATAAAATTGGTGAGTAATGACAGAACTGAAGAAAGAGCAGGTGAAAAAAAAAGTGAGAAAAGAGAAAAGTGAGGCGGAGGAGTAGAAAGATCAAGAGTGAAAGAATGTCATACGAGAAGATGTGACAATACACACACACACACACACACATACACACACACAGAATAAATGTAAATGCATGGGGTCGATGTGCTAGTTTGATTACATCCAGGAAGCAGATGTAGAATCAGGAATCAGTGCCAAAAGAAACTCCCTCCTCTTTCAACAGCAGTAGGTCACTGTCACTGTTACATAACAGCTGCACAAATGCAAACAGAACAAATCCACTCACTTGAAAGAACATTTAAAGACCCCCCCGGGGAAAAACAAAGTGGTTTTTTACCATGTTAACACATCTGTAGGGAGTTTTTTTGAGATTAGTTTTAAGGGTTAGACGACCAGCTGGAGAGGGACTTCAAATGATCTGAATTCACATTGTGATACATACTAAGGAGGTGACACAAAAAACAAACACACAATCCTCATACGCCAGAAAATCCACAGTGAGATAGATGATCTGAATAAGTACTCTTTGTGTGTGTTTCCTACCGATGGTAGTGATGACCGTCCCAGCAAAGAAGAAGGCCGAGCTCAGGTCCCACAGGCTGCTGTGGCTGGTCAGCGTTCCTGCAGGGTTCACTCCTGAACGGATGGCAGACACAACTTGCTGGACAGGGAGGAAGAGAGAGACAGAGAGAGCTTTTGAGCCATGTGTTCCTCGTAGAGGCGCAGGCGTGTGTCCACGTGCTCGCCCGCCTAATGAATTAAAGATGGCCACATATAAAAGTTGAGATGACTGTAAGCGAGGCAAAAATCTGGAGCTGTCAAGGAGAATGCATTAAGGGAATCTGGTGCCGGCAAATGTCAGAGTCCCAGGAGAGTTTTCTGGTCGAGAACAGGAAACAACAAGAGTCTAACAACAACAGGAGCAGACTTTGTGTGGCTCGACTGGTCGTCCTTCTTCTCCTGTAAGATTGAAGGAGCTGTCCGTGGTGCTGAAGCCACTGCTGCTATGCTGAATCACAACTCTGCACAATATATAGTATTTTTTTCTTGCGCTTGTTTATATTACTCATTTATATTTTACTGCTTTTATTCTCGTGTTATTCTAATTTTTATTTTTATAACTATGAAAAAAGTCTAATCAGTCCCATCTGTGTGTCTGTCTGTGAACAGTCTCGAGCTCGAGTGCTGAGGTCTATCCATCCATTATCTAGACACCGCTTGATCCTCACTAGGGGGGCTGGAGTCTATCCCAGCTGACTCAGGGTGAAGGCAGAGGACACCCTGGACAGGTCACCAGTCTATCACAGGGCCACACTTAGAGACAGACAACCAAGCACACTCACATTCACACCTACGGACAATTTAGAATCACCAATTAACCTCAACATGTTTTTGGAAGCCAAGCCAGAGAACCCGGAGAGAACCCACGCTGCACGGGGAGAACATGGAGACTCCACGCAGAAAGATCTCGGATGTCCGCACTTGGACGCGAACCGGCGACTTTCTTGCAGTGAGGCAACAGTGCTACCAACTGCTCCACCTTGCAGCCCTGCTGAGGTCTAACAAGTTGATATTTTCCAGGTGAGCTAGGAATCGCCTCTCCTCCGAATGATTCAATTTGGGGGTCAGTCAGTGCAAAAATAGCTCCACTGGAACTCAAAGGTCCCTTTTCCAAAAAGGCTGTATACCTCCAAAAGGTTGGTTGGCAGATTTATGGTATTTGGTGCAGACCAACAACCATGTTGGGGCTTTCTGTTGGTGATGTTACATTTGACCTTGGAAGATATTTCACAGTCAGACTCACGGTCATAAATTGGATCGTACCCACTTCACCTTAGACAACCAGTCAACCATGATTAATGAAACTAAACACCTATTTTATATTAATTTGGATGGAATAATGGTTTAGAGGGGCTCAGTGCAATCATGGCCAGCAGGAGCAGCTGTATCCCTCTAACTATATATACCTCTAATATGAAGTCAGCCTCACCTTAACCAGTTCCTCTAGCTGGCTCTGGTTGACACAGGAGTGTCTGGACAGGAACTCCAGCTTCTGGGACAGGATGGCCAAACGCTGAGCACTGGAACAAGAGAAAAAAAGTGAAACTGAGAAATGTTTCAGATAGTGTCTTCATATTTTACAAACAGAGTGTACTCTTATCAAAACCCCATTGTTAAGGGTGCACAGACCGATCATAGTTGGTGTAAAAGACTGATGATTGCAGTCTACAAAGTTACCAAGTGCTGATTTGGTTTAAACTACGTGGAAATGAGTAGAGCAGTTACGGTGATACTTTGAACCAGTGCAAAGACTTCTATACCACAGTTCTCCAAGGAAACTCATCGTTAGGGGTTCCTACTTGAACAAAATCACAGAAACTCAGTCATTCCTTTATGTGGGAAACTAAGTGGTTTGCAGTGGTTTACCTGCTGTTAGAAAGCTTGTTGTCCTGCAGGTTTCTGGCATAAAGTGTACAGAGATGAAACTATAAGGACCCCATAATTGAGCTCTGGGGAACTCCACATGTTTAAGTGATCCACGCAGATATATGATCATCAGCTGCAGCATCCTTTTTTGTATCAGCGAGCGCCACACAGTTTTCAGTCTATGTGTGATTATTATTCAACATCGTTTAAAAAAAACTACAATAAGATTTTTTTTTTTCATTTTAAGTATCGAGCAAACATCATGTAGTATATTTATTAAAGGGGTCTCAGTGCTGTGCAAAAAACTACCGGTAAATTCACTTAAAATAAAATAAAATCACTTGTGAACGAATTTACATTCAATAAAAACGACATTCAGAGTAAACAAAATATTCACAGTAGATCAATACCACGTTGCACTTTTTTAGAAAAAGCTGAATACCTGCAGTTCTCAGAGGCACTGAGGAAATGGATGATAGGAGGTGGAGGGATGACAGGGGAATGATGGGTAAATGGTGGATGGACGACTGTTCTGGCGGTGAGGCAGACAGACAAGCAGACATGCTGTTAACCTGCCTACCTCTCGTGAGGCTGCTCCAGGGATCTGAAGACTGCTGCTCCCATCACCAGGTACAGAACCACCAGAAGAAAGATGGCCGTCACAGTCTTCCACTTCATCACCGTGGCAACCACCTGCAACGACTCACCAGTCAACTCGCGGGCAGACAGGATGGCGTCCAAAACTCTCTAAGAGTCATACAGAACCTGTCTCTCGCTGTAAAAACTATTTAAAAAGACTTTTCCTCTGATGTTTTATTTTGTCTCTCACCTCACTCTCCTCCCGAGGAGTCAGTGTGATTGGCTTTGTGGAGAAGGAGAGGCGGGGCTTAGTGTTGTGAGTGGCGGATTTAGGGTCCAATAAGTCTGGAGCTGCCACTGTCAGGGGAAATGAGAAAATGGCATTGAATTTTTCTTTTTTTTTTTTCTTTTCCCCCTCCACATACTTTTCCTCCTGCCTGTCCCTGCTCACATGCCCCGGTCAACACATTTAGCTGTTAATTTTAGAAAATCCTTATAAATTAATCACAAGTGGCCTTCAGATCCTAACACTGGTGAAAGCATGAATCAGTCCGAGCATTTAGTGTAGTGCCACTTGGGTGTGTAATATGTGTGTGCGTTTGACAGATCCAGAGAGCAGTTTGTGCTTGAAGCAAGAGGAAAGAGGAGAATGAGAGTCATTTTAAATGTAAGAGGATGGATGTGGTGAGAGCAGGAATGTTAAGAGTGCTTGAAAGCTTGAAAAGCAAGAAAGGAACGATGACTACGGTTGTTCATGTCGAGAGACCTTTATAGCAGGTGAACGAACAGCTTTCTTTTTGCTGCAGGCCAGTTAGTGTGTAAGAGGTATGCACTAATTTCTTTTTAATCACGAAACATCTTTATACCGGATCGAGTGTCTAATTTTCTGTGGGTATCATGAACAGAGAAAATGAGCATAACACCGCCATCTGTTGTTTGATCTAATGTAATTTCTAAGCAGTCAAAGTGAAAAAAGAGGGAGTCACAGTGGAGACAGCAGCAGTTTGTTACAATAACTTTCTCCAATCAGCTTAAATGTTAGTAGCCTCGACTGCTGACGCACTTTTACGTTCTTAATTGTTTTGGGAACCACATTTAAGCAGCTAAATGGAAATTAAACTTGAATGAAAGTGGGGAGAGAAGACAGATGATGTGCTGGACATTATGCTGTGATTTGACAGATACTAATTAATATGATCCCAAAATATATTTAAACTGTCCGATACCATACATTATTAGAATGTCTCTTCATGATCCTACAACACAAGTCTGTGAGCGTGAGAGGAAGAATAAAGAGGAGGATGAATAGAGGGAGATGGAGAGATGTAGAGAAGGTACGGGAGGCTCAAAAGACAGATGGATGTTCAGAAAACCGAGAAGAGAAGCTCTAAAAATGTTTTCATCGATAGTGAGGAGAACACGAAATCTCCTCATGCAGTTGAGTTTTTATTAAAAATGTCAATCAACTATATGCTCCCCCTGATGACTGCAGTCCCCACAATGCAAAGGTCAAAGGTGACACAATGTGATTTGTCCAAATTGAGAGAAATTCCACAAAGTATTGATTTGTACGCTTTCCTTTGAGATTCTGTCTTTATACCTGATGTACAAAATCATATCAGCACGAGAATGAAAAAGGGTCAGAAGCACTCAGACTGATTACCTTCCACATGAGGTTAAACCAAACTACTGAATATACAGTTTGTACTGGTCACCTGCAGTTAGCAACAGAAGCACTGGTTCTGCTTTAATGCAACATAAATCCAAAACTGAACTCCCTGCCTGACCAGAGTCTGTCACTTCTTAGTATAATAACTCATCTGATGTGTACAAACAATTCTGCAAACCATAGGAACTCTTAGAGGCTTTGACTTTTTAACTAAAAAAGGAATCTAGAAACATCTTGTCTACAAAGTTGGAATGCTTGATCAGGATGAATATTTAATAGATTAAAACATGCAGTGAGTGCATCTGTGCAGGAGGCAGAGATAATCAGTCACACAACAGCAGGTGGAAAAAAAAAGAAGTGAAACAAATCCTGCAGGAGCTTCAGGTGCACATGATATTTCTAGTGAACTATGTCTTTTCAGGATTGTGTTGAAAGCAAATCAGATGCCATGTAGCCAGTCTGAGCAGCGCTCACTGGGTTTTACGCACAAACTGCACAGAAGTTCCAGGAGGAGTTGTCTCCTTCCACCACTGCAAGCCTCCCTCATACACACTCTATCTACACTCTGCTCGGTCTGTACTTACTCCTTGTTGCTGCCTATCCGATGCCCTCCGCTCTCCTCTTCTCCTCATCCGAGGCTCTCACTGCGTTTAGGGGAATCTTTCCTCCTCTGCGTGTCTCCTCCCTGCGCTGCTGAAGCGGGGGGACGAACAGGAGCTCCGTTTTCCTTCTGCTTCTCCTACTTTTCACCGCTGATCGGACGCCGATGCTGCTCCGGCAGGATGGTTTTTCGTGTCTCTTCGTGGCACCGAGGAGACTTTTTCTCTGTCTTCTTCTTCAGCCTCCCTCCTGCTTTCAGCTCTCCAGCATCCACTGCGCTCCGTGTGCGCTCCGGCTTTTGAGCGCACCGGTGGAATAACACGGAGAGGAGGAAGGAGGAGGAGGAGGAGGAGGAGGAGGGAGGAGAGAGCACTGAGGGGAGGAGGTGCAGGATAGGGAGGTGCTTCCCAAACTAAGGTCCGCACAATCCAGGGAGGTCCTTCACAGGGTTGGAGAAGTCCCCATAAATCTGTAGTGATATCATGAACTAGATGTACATTTGGTTTCACTACATACATACAGGGTGGGAAGGACTGCTTTATGAATTGAATAAATTGAATTCCAACAAATTACCTGCTTTAAAAAAGTAAACTTTAACCTAATCCAAGAATCACAATATCAAAATATTACAATTGGTTACTTTCCATTACTTTTGAATTACCTTAAAACCAAATGTGCAGTAAAAAAAAGAAGAAAAAGAAGAAGAAGTGTGAAAATATGCATCATCAGTCTCTGTTATCACATGTATTTTAAAATATTATTCCTGCCATTTTTACTACGCGTATTTTAAAATCTGATTATGACTTTTTTTCTGCTAATCTAATGGAGTACAGATACTTCCTTATACGTTTCCACTACTCCCCAATCCTGCTTCATACATCTCCCTCCAATACCACGTCAGATGAGGAAACTATTAGACAAACCATCCTCAGAATACCAGAGTAAATGTATTATTCAGAACTAAACAGAGAAGCTTTTCACCGTTAAACCTTGGTGATGCAGAAGAACAGACAGGTGTGATGGAAGTGGAGAGTGAAGGTGACAGGAGGGCAGATGGGGGCAGTGATGCAGTTTTTCTTGTGGTTATTTTTTGCAGCTGTAGTCTTGTGTTGACGCCGTAGCTGCTCCTTGAAAATGTTCTTTATATAAAACTTGCAGGTCGGAAACCTTTATTATTTCCCCCAGGATGTAGACAGCTCCGGTTATTTATTTGCTTCGTGTGTGTGTTTGTGTGTGTGTGTGTGTGTGTGTGTGTGTGTGTGTGTGTGTGTGTGTGTGTGTCTTCAGGTCAGGGCTATAATATTAACAGAACCTTAAAAATGCAGCTGATGGTGATAGAATTGTTTCTTTCTGCTTTTCTCTCTCTAAAAAAAAACAGATAACACATAGTTTGACCTGCGTGTTTATACTGTAACATAGACCTCGTGCAATGGAAATGTTTTTTAAATGTTTAACCAGAACAAATGCTGTAAACCTACTTTTAAAGGAAACACAGAGTTGGTTTATTATCCGGTTCATTCCCTGCAATCACCTTATTTGCTTTAGGATATTGACTCACACTGTGGTCACAATTACAATTCAGACTTCTTATTTTCATTCCTGGAAAGATCGAAATCACTTTCAGACAGAAGAGAAGAGAAGAGAAGAGAAGAGAAGAGAAGAGACGAGAAGAGAAGAGAAGAGAAGAGAAGAGAAGAGAAGAGAAGAGAAGAGAAGAGAAGAGAAGAGAAGAGAAGAGAAGAGAAGAGAGATTTATTGTTAAATTTGTGGATCTTCGGTGGCATAAGGTGGTTAATTTCATCAGTCAGCCACTCAGTTCCAGATGTTAATTTGTCACACATGCTTGTTTGTTTCTGTCTCAGGTTGATGTCTAGGAGAGATGGGCAAGTGGAGGGGATTGAATCAGGCTGAATGAAATGTGTTTGTGGCCACTGAGGTGAAAGGCTCCTGTTACATATATTTCATGGAGAGTATAAATGGAAGCCACCTCCCCACAGTAAGTCTCAACATTGACAAATGTCACCTCTCAGCAGGCACTCTCAGGTTTGGGCTTCAGCTTCGGATTGGAACCAAATTTGGCAGCTTCCTGAGGTGAAAACTGCCGACTGCTGTGTGTTGGTGGATAGATCAGGCTGCTATTCAAAGACTAATTAGGGCCCCGAAGGTGCAGAGGCAGAAACCAGGGGTATAGATGGCTGCATGTTCAAAAGCTAAAAGTGTTTTCATTTTCAAATGTCCCTGTTTACTGAAACCACGCAGCTTTTTAAACGGACATTTTCTCTCATCATCCATCTTTCCCCACTCGCTCCGCTGGTCTGACTCTCAGACCCTGATGAGAAAGTAATAGCAGTTTAATTGTCTGAGTTTCCACCCAATGACTCCGACATCTAAACATTAATTACACGCCTATTTGTACGGCTAAACATAGACACCGTGTGCGGGGCTTTCCATGACTGAGTGTGTGTGGATTGTTGCTGTGTGTTTGTGTATCCCTGCAAGTTGCATGCTAACGGCACGTGTATTTTTTTATGCGTTTGTGACTCTGTGTGTGTGTGTGTGTGTGTGGTATGTGAACATAGCGAGTGTGTCGTGGTCTCACCCCACCTGTGTAACTTTATCCACACATCTGCTGCTCGGTGGAGGCAGATGCAGGAGAACTAAATGAGATTTGCTCTCTCACACTGTGCAGCACCTGCTGGTCGCTGTACTCTGAGCTTTGTGACACATGAACATTTAATGATATGTTTTAGTCAGCATCATGTAAAAGTGCTTTTTTTCTCCCTCCTACTCTGAGTGCATCACTTTTAAAAGCGTGCTGAGGAGAGGACTCTATGCTGTACTGACCGATAGCGATTAGAACCTACTACACATGACACTATGTTGTCAACGTGTTCATTGCATTCACAAATTATTCTATATTGGCAAAAATTCAAAGTGAGCTGGCTTCAGTAAATCATCATTGTCACTGAATCAGTAACTTTTAGCAAAGCTTCTCACAGATAGTGTGTCGACTCACTTCAGCAGCTCTTTGGAAACATTGAGAAGAAGAAATTTGTGGCAGAACCAGGCTCAGAGGTGGGCGG